AGTTCTCTGCGGCGCGCCCCGCAGGCCCCAGAGCGCGCCCCAAACCCTAAAGGGTTTAGGGCTTAGGGTTTAGGGTTTAGGGTTTGGACCTGGAATGGCGTCTTGGGCGTTGGCAGTGCAAACAAACAAAACCCTCGACAAGTCCACAGGGGCGTCGACATAATGGTCTCGAAATAAATTGTTTTGCGAAGGGTCTAAAACTTCGAGAAGTGCAGAGGCGGGGTCTCCTCGAAAGTCCCTCCCCTGAGGAAACCCTAAACCCTAAACCCTAGACCCTAAACCCTAAACTCTGCGCCCCGCCCCAGTTCCCAAGCCCCCAAACCCAAGAGTAGACCCAAACCCTAAACCCTAAACCACACGCAGGCGGCGACGCCCGCCTGCAACGCACTGCCCCCATAAGCAGGGGGTAGGGTTTAGGGTTTAGGGTTTAGGGTTTAGGGTTTACGAGTTTGTCAATCTCGTCCAAAACTATCAAAGGATTCATTGTTCCCGACAACTTCAAAGCGTTTATTATTTTTCCCGGAAGGGCCCCGATGTAAGTTCGGCGGTGGCCCCGCAGCTCGGCCACGTCAAACAAACCCCCTGCGCCAAAACCCTAAACCCTAAACCCTAAACCCTAAACCCTAAACCCTTGGCGGCTCGCCCTGCGCGGCGCGGCCGCCCTCCAGACAAGAATAACCGCGCGGTGTTCACACTCGAGAGCCCGGGGCTGCGCTTTGCGAACCAGGGCCTAGGGTTTAGGGTTTAGGGTTTAGGGTTTACGGATTAGGGTTTAGGGTTTAGGGTTTACCTAGAGATATGCGGTAATACTTTCGCTTCAAAGCCCTCGCAATGCTCTCCGCTACGGAGGTCTTGCCCACCCCAGGGGGACCCACGAAACACAGAATCTTGCCCTGAGCCACAAAACCCTAAACCCTAAACCCTAAACCCTATACCCTAAACCCTAAAGCCTTGGTGCACCCTAGCGCGCTGCAGATGGAACAAGCACCACAGTGCCGTCATACAGACTGTCGAGTTCCCTCGCTAAACCCCTAAACCCTAAATGCTAAACCCTAAACCCTAATCAAGCCTGCTCTCGAAAAATCAGGGTTTAGGGTTTAGGGTTTACTTGAGAATCCTTCTTCAGAATGTTGACAGCTATAAACTCTAAAATGCGTTTCTTTACGTCCTCGAGGCCAAAGTGGTCTCTGTCTAAAACCCTCGCGGCCTCTTCAATGTCTGCTCGCAAACCCAAACCCTAAACCCTAAACCCTAAACCCTAGGCCCCAACCCTCAAACCCTAGAACGCAAACCCTAGGCTCTCAGGTCTCGTTTTGGCCTTGCTGCATCACCTCTCTACTGGCTTTTGGGGGTTTAGGGTTTAGTGTTATGAATGCCTAAATCCTCCACTTCAGGGCGAAAGGTTCCAAACCCTAAATTAGGGTTTAGGGTTTAGGGTTTAGCGCTCACCTGTGCAGTCCGTGGTGTACTCTCCCCAAGGCAGCTTCAGCAGGTTTTCAATATAAGCTCGACAAACATGAAATTCAGAAGAAGACTGGTCTAGAGAAGAGAGTTTGTTGAGCTCGCTAGTCACCGCCTAAACCACATATTAGGGTTTAGGGTTTAGGGTTTAGGCTTTGCTGCAGTCGCTTCTCAGCTGTCAGGAGAATGCGACAGCCGGACCGGCGAAGTTGAAGCGGTGGCGCTCTGATCTATGCGCCGCCCGAGTAAGGGTTTAGGGTTTAGGGTTTAGGGTCTGCTTCTTGCCTTCTGAACCTCTTCGTTCATGAAGGCTTCCTTCTTAGCGAATAGCTCGCGGAATTGCTGCAGAGAAAACACTAAGCCCTTAGCCGCAAACCCTAAACCCTAAACCCTAAACCCTAAATAATAAGCTGTAAACCCCAAACCCTAAACCCTAAACCCTAGACGGCAAACCCTAAACCCTCGCAGGCTGCACAAGTGCTCCAGCTTGAGGGCGCATCTTTCGCGTGGGGAACAGCCTCGGCTTCGGGTCAAAGGCGAAAGCTTAGGGTTTAGGGTTTAGGGTTTAGGGTTTACGTCGACGATTGATTCT